CCCCAAAACCCCAAAACCCCAAAACCCCTCTATGAACCCTGGGTTGAATTGCTATTTTATTCATCCTCTTCCTTAGAAGATAGCCTATAAGAATACGAGCTTCTATATTTTGACTCCTTTTTAGCATCAATTCTTGAGATGCTCTTAATACAGGATTCCCCAGGAAGTAGGAAGATTTTCCATCCATTTTCATTTTCTTGCTCTTCCTCTGCATTATCATCCTCCTTTTCTAGATTGTGTTCCTTTTTCTCATTCTGTTCTTCCTTCTGCTCTTCTTTCTGCTCCTCCTTCTTTTCTTCCTTCTCTTCTTCCTTATCAAGCTTGAGGTTGTTTAATTCAAAACTAAAAGTGGCCTTGAATTTCTTGTCAGTGAGGTTCTCGTAGAACCACATATATCTTTCATTAATAAAATAGATATAGTAGTAGACCTCTACCTTTTCATCTTTGTAAGAGATTTGTTTCTTTTTCCCATTATTCTTGATTCTCTCGATCAGTTCAGCGTTGTTCAGCACTGCCTCTTTAATCTTGAAGCTGTAGGAATATTTGTAGCCCCAGGATTTAGTGAGATCTTTCATGAGAAGTTTGACATAGGAAGTCTCTCCTGGACGCAGCTTTACTTTCCATTCTTGTTTATCTCTGTACTCATCGTCATCAATTTCGAGATTTTCTAGTTTAAAGTAGAAGGTTCCTTCAAAGATATATCCTTCCTTGTCCTCTAACTCATTCGACTTGTTCTCAAAATAGAGGAGGTAGCCACTGCCGTCTTTGTAGACATAATAATAGACTTCGTACTTTTCATCTCTATACTCAATTTGCTTCTTTCTACCTCTTCTTTTGGAAACTTCTAAGATATCACTAACTGGCTTTATAAGTGTTGTGTAGTATGTGCTGTTGAAGGAGCACCCACGGTCACTTCTGTTAAGGATGACAATTCGGTTCTCTCCAGGAGGGACTTTTATCTCAATAATATTTCCCTCATAAGGTGGCATGACATAAAGATTTTCTAATTCACCAAATTTCACAATCTCTCTGAGAGTCGTTCCTTCTGAGTTATTCTCATAGTATAGAAAGCCGTACTCGGTTTTGGATTCTTTGACACTGAAGGCTCTGAAAATCTCAGGCTCGCCTTTATCTGCGTATGTTTTAATTTCCTTTGAAGTTCTTGCACAGGTTTTTAAAGATTGTTCAAGGAAATCAGGATATTCTTCTTTATCAATCTCCTCTATTTTTGGGTCTGATTCTGAATAAGTTCTAAAAACAAAGTCATTGAATTGCGTATCATCGAACCAGTGTATTTCTATGTATGCAAGATACTCTCCTGGGACTAATTGGCATTCGATTGTGGTATCTTCGTCCTTCCATCATGTTCCTTTGATGTATTCTATGGGGAATTTTTCAGAGTCTTCTTCATCTTCTGGAACAATTCTTGACAATAACATCCTGACAAACGATGGTTCATATTCCTTATGTCTACGGGCCCATCTTTGATTCAGCTGGGATACTGTTAAAAATATTTTCTCTTCGTTCTCAATAGTAACCTTGATCAGGTTGTAATCCCCAAAATTGTGCTTGCATTTGATTGAGTGAGATACATAATTTTCATGTAATTTACAAATGACTGTGGTTCTGAAATAGCTCAGATAGTCTCCAACGCACATGAAAAAGACACCATCATTTTTCTCCTCACATCCAAGAGCTTTACGGAGCTTAGGTGTCCAAGAATCGTCATCATCACTCCATTTGCCTAGCCATTCCTTATGACCCCATGGGTTCCTAAGTTTTAGTAAGCGTTCTGGTCCATTTTTAGTTTTGATTTCTGTAGCTGCAATGACAGAGTAAGCATGCTCGCTTATGAGGCCCATTTCATTATATCTCTCTTTGTTTAGCTGCCCTTCCCCTGATGAAGCACAGATTATATATTTGTTCTGGTCTGCTTCATATATCTCATCCCAAATATCTTGTATGTACATGTGCTTGAAGAAGACTACAGGAGCACCAGTCAAAGCTCTGAATGCTTCTGATACAAATCCTTTGATGGAGTTCTCGTAGTTGCCATTTACCTTAGCCCAGGCCTTTTCTAGTAACATAACCCAGAGCTCGTTGCCTTTGGATTGGGAAAATGCCGGTTTGTGTTTATTTTACATAATATGGAATATGATCATCGACAAGGACTGTATAGTTCTCCCCTCCCAGTGTGAAATTTATAGCATAGATTCCATCTTCATTAAGTTCCCGATGCAAGAACAGTTTCTTGATTTGGTCAGGGAATTCAGCCATTGCACTGATTGCTGAGAGGAAGTAACAGTTTCCAAGTCATCCTTGCTTAATATCATTTGGATCGATTCCTCCAGAGAAGAGGTTGTACTCGCCTTTGAATATTTCATGGGGCCTTCTCCATTCAAAAGTTTTCCAAGTTTCAAGCTCTTCCTCAGTCAGTTTGGTATCTGTCAAATTATACAGGGAGTTCTCATTGGGAGGAAAATCTTCATCAATGGAATCATGAGTCTTCTTCATCATTTCTTCCATCGTCTAGGTGGGATTAACTATGTATTACCTCTGTGTTGGACAAAATTTCCATTTATTCTTTAATTTATAATAAATTCAGAAACTTTTGTTTTTGTATGTCTTCAATTAGGTTACACCAGCATGGGGTTTTGGGGTTTTGGGGTTTTGGGGTTTTGGGG